ACACACACACACACACACACACAGAGACACAGACATACAGACACAGAGAGACACAGACGTAGTAAACCTTACCCAATGCTGAGCTTGCTGTGAGGAAGCCGCAGATACACAGCACAGTAGGGAGCGGCGATGCCCTGTCAGGTGAGTTCCAGAGACGGACCATGACCTCAGGATAGTTGTAGGAGTCGGACAAACAGCAGGCAGGTCCCTGTGAGTGTGAGTGTGAAAACTGAGCGAGCTGGGAGGCAGAGGCACTTTCCGGGAGCTGGAAACAGCAGCGTGGTAGTGTCTGTGCTCAGTCACTGAGACGGTGCTGATATGGTCAGTGATCCGAGCAATGTGGTTCTGCTTGCTGTTCTCTCTCTCTCTGTGTGTGTGTGTGAGAGACACTGCGTTCTGCTTGTGTGAGGTTCACATTCCCCGAGTGCATGCAGCTAACCCACGCTTTAACATCGCAGTCGCTGGGGAACGCTGTGCGGTTCCAAGAAAAGAGGAACCTGTCCCGGAGCCAAAAAAAATCTTCCTTTCCTGGAATCTCTGCGCGATTGGGGGGTGAAGAAATTGGCTGACATGCAAGCTTGAGATTTGGCTCTGGAGGCTACTCGGCCCTGCTTGCCCCTTCTATCCAGCCCCGATGCCGCCCTCTCTCCAGCAGCCTCTTTCTAGGTGTGAGAAATAAAGCAATTATTTCAGGGAACGTCAAACTGGTCTCGGTCTTTCTATCTTTCCACTATACCCGTGTTTTTGTGTGCCTCTGTGTGTGTGTGTGTCTGTGTCTGTGTGTGTCTATGTGTGTCTGTGTGTGTCTATGTGTGCCTGTGTCTGGGTCTGTGCGTCTATGTATGTCTCTGTGTGTGTGTCTGTGTGTGAGTGTCTGTGTCTGTTTCTGTGTGTGTGTGTATCTATGTGTGCCTGTGTGTGTGTGTCTATGTGTGCCTGTGTGTGTGTATCTATGTGTGCCTGTGTATGTGTGTCTGTGTATGAATGCGAGTGTGTGTCTGTCTATGTGTGTCTGTGTCTGTGTGTGTCTGTGCGAGTGTGTGAGTGTGTGTGTGTGTTTGTGTGTCTGTGTGTGTGTGACTATGTGTGTCTGTGAGTGCGAGTGTGTGCGCGCGCGAGTGTGTGCGTGCGCGCGTGTGTGCGTGCGCGAGCGTGTGTGCACGAGTGTGTGTGTGCGTGGCTGTGTGTACGTGTGCACGAGTGTGTGTGTACGCACGAGTGCGCGAGTGTGTGTGTGTCTGTGTGTGAGTGCAAGTGTGTGTGTCTATGTGTGTCTGAGTGCGAGTGTGTGCGCGTGCGAGTGTGTGTGTGTGCGCGAGTGTGTGTGTGCACGTGTGTGAGTATGTATATGCCCGCGAGTGTGTGTGTGTGTGTGTGTGTGTGTGTGTCTGAGCTGGGGCTTATAAGGACCTTACAGCCTCGTGCTTTGAGCGACATGTTGATGTGAGGTTGCAAAGCAGCTGCCTCTGTCTGACGGAAAAACATCATCCAAACGATAAATGCTGGAAATCAGAAACAAGAACAGGAATCACTGGAGAAACTCAGCAGGTCGTAGAGACATACAGCACAGAAACAGGCCCTTCGGCCCAACTGGTCCGTGCCGGCCCCGATATCCTAAATTAATCCAGCCCCATTTGCCAGCATTTGGCCCATATCCCTCTAAACCCTTCCTATCCTGTACCCATCCAGATGCCTTTTAAATGTTGTCATTGTACCAACCTCCACCACTTTCTCTGGCAGCTCGTTCCATACACGCACCACCCTCTGCGTGAAAAAGTTGTCCCTTTCCCCCCCTCACCTTAAACCTATGCCCCTCTAGTTTTGGACTCCCCTACCCTGGGGAAAAGACCTTGGCTATTCACCCTATCCAAGCTCCACATGGTTTTATAAACCTCTATAAAGGTCACCCTCTCAGCCTCTGAGGTTCCAGGGAAAATAGCCCCAGCCTATTCAGCCTCTCCCTGTAGCTCAAACCCTCCAACCCTGACAACATCCTTGTAAATGTTTACTTAACCCTTTCAAGTTTCACAACATCCTTCCCGTAGCAGGGAGACCGGGATTGGACGCAGTATTCCCAAAGCGGCCTCGCCAATACATGACCCTCCCGACTCCTACACTCAGCGCACCGACCCATAAAGGCGAGCGTCCCAAACCCCCTCCCTCACCGCCCTGTCTACCTGCCACTGCACTTTCAAGGAACCGTGTACCTGCTCCCCCCGCCGAGGTCTCTCTGTTCAGCGACGCTCCCCCAGGACCTTCCCGTGAA